TTTTTTAGCGTTTTGATCAGGATTTTAAGTCCTGCATAATGCATCTTCCAGAATATTTCAATAAATGGTACAACTTAAAAAGAATTACATATGCAAACTGTGATCTTTGAAATGCTACAAATCACCACAGGATCTTCACATTAGGGGAAAGAAAAAAAAAAAGTCATAGGTCTTAGTTCCAAAATAAACAGGAATTCACTTCATCTCGTTTTTTTTCCATACAAACAGAGCAATAGAACAGGATTAAATACTAGAGGTTGGTGGACTCCTATTAAATATACATCAATAATAACTTTAAAAGGAGCACAGAAAAAAAAAAGTAAGCAAAACAAAGTGCTTTATTTTATAAGCTTCTGTTCACTGTTTCCCCTGCATTATCATTTTTAGCACAGGGTTTGTATGCCTCTAATATAAACAACATCATCTGCCTTCTTTGTGTATTCTATATGAGTAAACAAAGGCTCTGTATGGCCAAAGGCCCTCACTAGAGCTTGGCCTAGCCAAAAGATGGGGTGAAAGGGAAGGATCCACCCAGTAGAAAATATCTTTAAAAATTCCACACGGAAAACAAAGCTATGCAAAAGGTGTCCATGTAAGGAATCAACTGCAATGTGGCAATTACTGGGAACTGGAAAGAATTACTTACTCTTCCACTGAATAGTTTAAAAAAAAAAAAAAAAAGGGGGAAAAAATTCACCATGGCAACAATCATACTTCACCATAGAAAAAGCATCAGAAGCTACAAAGTCTTTTCAGAAAGAATTATGCACCAATACGTAGTACACACTTCATTATGCTCCTGCATACACCCTCCACAAAATCTCCCTTTGGACTCATCTGGCATTTGCTTCTTTGCTCGGTACCACTCATCACCTTTTCCTTCCTCATTTCCGTCCCACTTGGATCTCACGGCTTGGGAATTGCTAAAGGAATTGATAGTGTTAGTCTGGGCAAGGGATTGCTATAAAACAACTAACAGAAAAGGCTCAGGTCGTGTCACCATGCTGCACTCTTAATGCCTTCCCGAGACACGTATCCATTTGTGTCACTGCTGTAATCATGGTGTTGCACATGAGTCCCTACAGCAAGAATCCTAAACGAGCTCAAACATAAAATACAGGAGAAAAATCTCCTTTTAAACACTTTCAAACTTCCTAGCTACCTATGGGACTAATCAGTGCATAGTAGTTAAACAGCATTAAATTATTATTATTTTTACTTCTGCCAACTCCATCACTAATCTGGATACACCACTGCCATTTCTTTACTGCAGATGCAATGGTGATGCCTTAAATCACTAAGTAAGTTACAAAACTAACTCTAAGCTCTCTTCTACGCTTACCCCACTCCAGAGAGTTGTGGGCAGACGAGTATCGTTTCAAACAGGACTGACTATCTTGTGTGCCATGAATTTCAACACGAGTAAAGAGCAACAGCTTTCCCCTACCGGGCATGCAGCTCTAGGCCAGCAAATACAGCGTGCCAGAACAACACCCGAACTCTCATTCCAGTTCGCCATGGCGGGTGACGGTAGCGCACACAGGGGACAACTCCAGGACAGCCAAGGGGATCCCCAAGGCAGCGGCAGGCCGGGCCGCGGGGAGCGCGCCGCACCGCTAGGTGTCAGGACGAGAAAGCGGCGGCGCCGGAGCCGGCCCAGCGCCGCAAACCACCGCACGCGCCACAGAGCCACCTACCGAACACCGCCTCACGCGGCCCGTTCAACGCCTAGGATAAATATTCTCCTAGGAAACAGCAAACACTTCAGGAAGTTTTTTAAAGTCAGTCAAGGGAAGTAGATGCTCGTACCTCGACGGCTTTGTGAAAAGCGGAGCAGCCTGCAACACCTGCCTCACGGCGAGCACGGACACTGCCCCTGCGCCTCAGCGGCCTTCCTGCTAGCGCACGTTTGTGGAGAAGGCAGCGGCTGCGCGTGACAACAGCTCCTCCATACCTGAAACCCGTCTGAGGGCGGCTACACAAACACATACCCGCAGCAGGGAACATAACTGCATCTGCTACCTTAAAACATAAATCCTCATGATTAGAGTTGCAGTTTTATTTGGATATGTTTCCTCATGCTAAAATGTGAGCTACTGATGTCCTCAGAAAGTGTAATTTGGATTTCACAGTCCAGGTACTGATTTGTACATACAATATGGAACCTAATAATCTTTTACAACCATTAAATCTGTCATGTTTTCAAAACTGATTTTTTGACATGAAGTATTTTGAAGAAATGATGACATCCACCGTGGTCTGCACAGACTCAGTGCGAACCTCTCATGCTGTATTTCTTTTAGGATCACACTTGTGTATCATGGGTACTTTAAACACCCATTAGCATAGAGCCCATAGCAGCAGTGTAACACTGAACACAACTGCCGTGTAAGAGATATAACACGGGGGAGCAGAGGGCTCCAAGCACTGCGTCCGCAGTGCAGCAGGCCAGAGACACAGTGCTTGAAAGAACAATATGCCTTATTATTTATAAAAGTCACAATGCTTTGTTATTCAATTTCAATCATATTTTCTGCTGTGAACTTAGCAAGGGTGTTCTGCAACTGCTTTGTCTGATTTTGCTATCTCTTTTTAAGACTGGAATTTCTAAACACCTCCTCGCAATTCCAGTAGGGTCCAGCACGCTGCAGGAGGGCAGCGAGGCAGCTCTACGACCTGCCCAGGACCGGCGGCTGTCAGTGGCAGAGGCAGAAACCAAGTGCAGGTCATTCAACTCGGGCACATTCAGCATGTGAGAAACCTGTCATGGTTTACAAACCATCTTTACACAAATCTTGGTAGGAAATATAATATTAATAATTATTTTTTAATTTATTAAAGGATTTAGAAAATAAAGGCTTGAATTTTTCTGTTTCCTGATCTTTACAACTGTATTTAATGACACATTTGAACAATTATGGTTAGAGGTTTTATTTGATGAAATAATAAGCAAATGCAAAGCTCCTCAGGTCTGCTGCCCTGGTGGGGGTGGGAATTGTAATTTAGGTTTGTGCCCTTGTCAACTAATTCTGAATTTTCATTTTTAACATTCAGCCTTCAAAATACCAGATGGTATTTCCAGTAAAGCAATTTAAATTTTTATTTTTCTTCATAAAACCCTTAACTAGTTAATCTCTTATGCACATCCTGGCGAGCACACACCAATATTCCCAGAGTTGCCTGGCAACTACTGGGAGGGATGTGAGCGGAGAGGCTGGAGGAGCCGCTGCCTCCGCGCACGGATGAAGGGGCCTAGGCCAGGCCGCCGTGCAGCCTCACCTTTGTTATTTACAAGCACAACCTACATCTCTCTAGTTTGCATTAGATACTTTGAAAGCACAACATTATGGCACCCTGCCATACCCACTAAAAGCAATGCCATTTTTGTTCTTGCACAAGCACACAGACACACCAATAATCCTCCACACGTTCCCCCAATAAGAAGGAGAAGGAGTCATGCTGAATTCAAAAGTCCCTTTTGAACACTGAACATGGTTCATAGGAATGATGCTTATCTGATGAAGATGACTGTTTAAAATTCAGACCAAGCTATTTTTCTCTTTTGGCTTTAAAAGTCCACAAAAATGGTACACAAACAAAATTCAGCAAAGACGACATTTTAGTTATGGAAGTACCATCAACAGCTATAGCAAAGGCATAGCAAGTCATGCCACACCTTTAGTCCAACTTCTGGTCCTTTCCTTTAACAGCGTGATTAAAATTACTGTTATTACTTGTCTGCGTGCCAGATCTCTCTGTTAATGTGCGCAGAGCTGCAGAATGCAAACCACAACACCTCTTCCCAGCAGCGAGCCTTCATTCGCGCCCCATTCATTTAGCTTTCCCACGTGCACTCAGACTCAGCTCAGCTTCTCCCAGTAGCATTCAAGTTTTCCATAGCTACCACCAATTTTCCATTCCGTCTCCAAACGCTTGCAAATGGGAGATGGATCTCTACAGAGATCTTGTGAAACGGCCACGGAGCTCAGCAGAGCCCCTGAACGTGCCACGGAGATTTATCGCTGAATTTGACTTACCTGTGTTAGCTTATTCTGTGTTAGAAATGGAAGAAGAAATCTATGTGGAGCAGTTTGAAAATATTCCACAGGTGGTTCTACGAGAAGTGCTTTTCATACTCTGCATATTTCGGGGCTACCTCAGCAACTACAGCTGAATGTTCAACACACTGTTTACCTTGTTCCTAACAGTCTATAAGCTACGTATACACATGCCCATGCCAGTCTCCTATTTATATGTTAGGAAAATGACAGTATCACAAAACATGTCGAAATACATGTATTTTGCTGGACAGATTTGTATTGAAGCCAATAAAGCACAAACTTCTATCCCTTGCAACAGGCCAGGACCAGCTGCCTCCTTAGAAGCTATAAAACCCAACATCAACAGAAAAATCTTTGCCCCACTCAGATTGCACTGAACAGTTGCTAAATAGAGATTAACTTTGAACCAAAAGCATGAGATTGGATTTCCCTAACAGAACACTTACCATCAAGAGTTACGACTCCAGATATTCTTCATACTTCCGTAAAAAACAGTTTCTTTACGAACTGTATTGTGTATGAAAATGTCCTGAAAAGTTTCACAGTTAAGCATATATTGTGTAAAAACAAAAATGTACTTTATCAGTTTTCGGACTTCCTTTGAAAATAATAAAATGAAGATGTTGTTCTTGCAGTGAGAAAGAGAATGGTAATTTATAAGATATTATCAACTCTCTCTAGTTTAACACTCTCTTCATATTAGTAACGCTCCACAAGAAGTTCTCTCTCCTCTTGCCTGTTGCCTATCTCTTTGGCTTTTGCAGACTGGAATACTATTTTCAGTACTGGTTAGGCAGACAGTCATAATACTGACATACTGGAAAGTGGATCAAACCACACTTCTTAATTCTTGTTAGCTCTTTTCTTATTTTTTTCCCCTTCTCTCTCTCTCACCATGGCTCCTGATTTACGCCTTACACCTACAATTTTCCTACTTACAGGTTCAATTTTCAGTGCGTTTCTGTAGCTCCCGAAGAAGGATGCTTGTGCTTTTAGGAAAGCTCTCGCAACACCATCTCCAGTGGTTGTTGAGACTTTCTTCAACCTGTTCTTCAGTGCAGAAACCTGAAATCACACAAGAGGTCTAGATCACTTCTCTTACCTACAAAAAGGTTGTGACTTAGTTTGGTATGTCTCTTTAGCACTCAGAGCTTAGTAACTACTGAAGGAAGGCTGTGCATCTATATGTTATTGTTAGTGATGGGATTTTTCTGTCCCAAACAAACGCAGAGAAAGGAGATTAGAGAAACCTCTCAAAGATTAATATTAAAGCTGTGTCTGTGCTGCAATGGTTAGAGGTTATATTAAATCATTAACAAATAGTTGTGTGAATAGCAATTTGTTGGCATTGGAGACAGAATCCAAGCTACATTTCTGAAACACATCTCTCAGAATCCATAGCAATACAAACCCAATAATCTGGGCAGTGAATTCAGGCTTGAATTCATTCAAGCACTTTGAGAGGCCACGATGATGTCATGTGTAAAGCTTGACAGAGGGGTGAGATATCTTAGGTAAAAGACAGCAAGAAGCCAAAATTTCAGAAGGAAAGCAGAAAGCCGGGAAAGCCCTAGTCATCTTGACTTGCCGAAGCATATAAAGGATCCATATGAAGATATTTATAAATAGCAAATCGACCTCTTTTATTAAATTCAAATGCTATTCTGAAAAACTCTATGGCACCAGCTCTATATGCTTCATGCTAAATTAAAGACATTGTAGGAATATTATTTAAGGAGTAAACAGATTCTACTGTAGTGGACATAAATTTTCTAAGAGAATTCATGAACTAGAAGTTAGTGGTTCAAATTAACTTTCAAGGCCCTCTCCTTAAAGTTTTCAGATCATCTGATCTGCTCCAAAAGTATATCTAACACTAGATGAGGTCTATTTTACATATTCCCACATTTCTGCCTTTCAATCAGGTATATCACAATAAGAATATCATAGCTTTTATTTAAATATATATATATATATATATCAAGAGAAAAAAAATGCTCATGTTTGTCCTGTGTATTAATTTATTTCACAGTAAAATAGACTATATAAACACAATTAAGATTGTTTTCCTACTTAAAGAGGCAGTAAAACTTCTTTTAAAATAAGATTTTGACCACTCAATACAAAGATTATTTCTAGCTAAACAGACACATATACATGCAGTCTACCCTGAGAGCGTTTTTAAAAGAAGATTTTTATACTTCTGGCAGTTCAGGTTTAAAGGTCAGATTTAAACTATCACCATGTTTCAAAATGCAATCTGTGCAATGCAGCATAATGAAATGGTTCAGTAAAGGTGCTAGTGGAAATTCTTTTAATTAGGTCCAAGGCTTTTCAGTTGTCAACATGAATAAAGCAAGAAACATTCTATTGCAAACACAGTGTAGGAAATAAAAATGGATTCACCTTTAAGGAAATGGATTTGCCATAGAGCTTTAGTAGTTAATACTTCTCGCTCTCTTAAAAGCATTTAATTTCCCACTGAGTGGAAAAACAGTACCATACGTTTCCTACTTGTGGTAACTTGTTAATGAATGGACGGCAGTAACATAACCAAATTACTGACAGCCTAAAATATCCACGGGCTTGTACAAACTCAAAATACTCACACAGCCACAAAATAAGTAAGATCTCTTTGGTGCTGTATACTATATTAGGCATTGCATCACGGTTTCATTTAATAAGGACTACAGGTTGACAGAGTGAGCTTATGCTTTATTCCTTGTAATATGAAGCCCTGGCTACAACTAAGATTAGAAAATGACACTTATTTGGAAATACATGATAAATCCATAAGGTTTGTATTAAAAAAAAAAAAAATACTACCCCCTCTTTGCTATTCCTTGCAACACAGACGGTGGTGTAGGAGACTTGTCAGCAGCAGATGCACTTATTGTAATCACAGTCCTTAATAAATCTCCCTCTCTCTCTTTTTTTTTTTTTTTTAATATTGACTATTTTAAAAGGAAACTTACTTCCCAGGGTGCTCTCACGCCGCCAGATTTTCAGGCACTTATCAGAAACAGAAGGTGAAGGAGGGACAGCTTCCCACGTTTCAAACAGCTGCTCCGTAATGCAGCAGTACACACCTTGGTTTTAAAGGACCTGACCCGAGCCCCTGAGGAAGTCTGACCGAGCAGGTACCACGGAGCCAAACCACAGCAAAGGAGTCCCTGAATCCGATCCCACGGGAAACGGCTCCTGGCAATCCAGCTGCGGTGACATGACTGCTAACTGGAAAGGCCTTTCACTACAGTCTAGGTTCATTTGGATACCAGGAGCGAAATCGTGATGACTAACTCATTCTGGACTACTGAAAACCATCACTTTGGGCAGCAATGTCACTATCACGAAACTCAAACATGACTCTGCTTGAAACTCCCAAAGAATCTCCAGGGATTCTTTTACGTAATTTAATTAGAACAGTCAGGGAAAAAAAAAAAAAAAACACCAACAGTTTTTCTACTGCATTAAAAACACCTGCTGGCAGATCCATCACAAAATGTTTTTCATCTTTGTGGAGTATAGATGGATTTATTTAGTGAAGTAAATTTTGCATATATTCAGGAGTTTGTGGATGTTTATATTCACTTGCAATCCTGGCAGAATAGCCCTATATGATCACAAAGCTCATGAAGAGATTTCTACCTAGTATATAAATGCATCTATGTAGATTTACAATGCTGAGGAGATGCTCTCCACACACCCCCATTACCAATAAATAAATAAAAAGCATAATGGATCAGCTTTGGTGTCTCCCTGCTGACATGAACAACTTGATCCACTTACAGTTCCAAGCACATGATGCATGAAAGAACTGACAGAAATTCAATTCTTGCAAAGAAGAGCAGCTGCTCTCTAGTGGTCAAAGCCAAATATTAAGCAGTCTGAAGGAAGAAGGAAAGGAAAAGAAAAGACCTAGAAGAGAATACTTCATAATCCAGGTAACCAAAATAATGAAACAAAACTAAATAATACATAAACACTGAGCCCAAACACTAATTACACAAAGCAACATTATTCCAGTTAAGTCTTTTTTACAGCAAATATTAATCCCAGCTGTATTTATATAGCAGTTGTGAGGAAAAAAAAAAATACACCATGTACGCTATTTGTGAGCCATGCCAGTTAATTGAATTTGCTGGCAGCACTTCCTCTGCTCTGCTCAAACATCCTCCAAGATAAAATGTAGCTCTTAAACAGACCTGTGGAAAACTGAATCAAGAAATTTGAGCTAATAAAACACAACTCTTTACTGTTATAAAACTGAAGTAAAAGTAAATAATGAAAGGAAGGAAGTCTCTTAAAATTTATTACATTCCAAAGCTTGAAGTTCTGTGTTTATTGGTGAAGTCTCTTCTGATGTTCTACAGTGCTCCTACAACAGCTCCTTTAATGAAGTCTCATAAAATCTAATATAATACTTGATTGTTGACAAATCATATACATGTTTGAAGCCCGGGACTTGCTGCATCCAGACATTTCTTACATAATTCTATGGGCTTTACAAGCCTGTCATTTCCAGGGCTGCGGGTTATGGCACGAGCGATGCCCAGCTCTGCAAGCTGGGAGTGAAACCAAAACCAAAACTCCTTGGCAGAAAAGTGCGTGGAAGTGACTTTTATAGACCAAATACTTGACAAAAACCAAGATGCTCACAGTGAAGCTGGACCTTCTACCTGGAACTCACTCTTTTCTAAGTACAGACAGATCACTCCACTCATCATACAGAAATGGTGGGATGCACTCAGTGTTCACCATTACTTGTGTTTTTCTCCCAACAGACAAGCTTACTCCTTGCATACTCCTTGTACTCACCAGTACTAGTAAAATATTTTGAAACAGTAAAAGGTCAAATTTCCCTGCCCCACATTCTTCTAAACAGCCATCATCTGACTTAAAATACTCCAAATCCGGGTTGCTAGCATTTCTAGCTTACGTTAGCTAATTTTCATTGGAGACTGAAAAATACATCTGCAAATGTTCAGACAACTTGGCTTAACACTTCAAAACAGGAAACAATTGAGTTAAAGCCATTTTCTTAAAATAACTGAAGCAACACGACACACTTCGCTTAGAAACTGAACAGGTTAAAAGGATTTACACTTCTGAGTCCTGGCAGAGTTGAATAAAATCATTTTGTACATACCACATCATTGGGAAGGCTCTGAAGATCATCAAAGGGGGTTTCCAGTGTGTTGGTGTCTACATTGAGAATCACGACATCTTCCAGGGCCATGTTTCTCACTTTCTAAATATGAGCAAAATCAAGAAAAGGGAGAGGAAGACACAGACACGAAGAGTTAAATCCTGTTCATAAAGGACTCAAGCAATGACACAGCATCCAGGCATTACAAAATTTCTCGAGCATTTAAAAACAACTAGAATTCCTGTCTTTCCTTCACAAATTGTTATTTACATTGTACAAGTTTGAAAAATTAATCTTCAATTGGGAAAATCTTAACCTTGTGCATACTGAAATTTTAAAAATCTCATGGTTTCTGTCTGAAATCATTCAAGCAGAGAGTTATTTCAAGCATCTCTAATAGTGCTCATTTTAATTATGGTCTCATCTTAATTATGGTATTGTGTTTGCACATTTACTATGCCTAAGTACAGCTTCCAGCTGAGTCAAGACTTCAAGTGTATCTTTCTATATTTATACAGAATTTAATTTAAATAGGAAAAACAGTGGTTCTTCTAGTAGTTAGAGTTTTAAGTAAGTTAAGCCTGGGATCTGCTCCCAATTTCCTAGTTTATTCTCGCATCTCCTATATACAGACATTTACAATTGTATTTAAGTAATATGGACACTGCAAGGAGTTTAAAAACAAAACAAAACACACAAACAAAGCCACAACTCGTTCTCTTTAATAGTCAGCCAGATTAACTTTTTATCCTACCACCACTTAATCTAGTAAGAGTATGTCTCTATAACAGTACATGAATGTATAGAAGAAAAGCATAGCCTGCTTCTCAAAATAACAATCACTGGTACCTTTGATTTCAAGTATCTAAAGCCAGTGGAACATTGTCAAATTATATTTCCCTGCTTAAACAACAACAAAACAACCACCAGTATGAAACACAGCAACACTTAAGTATTTTTAACACTTTTTCATATAACAGGACAATTAAATGTTGTTTCTTTTCCCATTGTCTTACTGATGCAGAGGCTAAAGACCATTTCTATTCATTTCCCAGTTGCACATTTGAGCCCTCTTGAAATGCCATCTTTGTAAACTCAAAAATGAGAGAAAGTGGAACTATGAACACGGTAATCGAGGAAATTTCCCAGGGCGCCTGGAAGCAAACTTCTAGGGAGGTACATAACTTACATACCTATAAGCAGGACCAAATGTGAGTTTGCGAGGGGAAAAATGAACAAAAACATATTCCATTTTGATTACGGTTTTGTGGGGTAGAAGGATTTGTTTCCTTTAAGGGAAAGGAACTAAAGCTCTAAGACAATGGCCATGTTAAGCCTTAGGCACCTAAATAATTACCTTCATTTGCAAGGCTCAGTCCCCTGGCTATAAAGAAAGCTGCTGTGTACTCAGGGGTAAAAAACAAAAGCAATGAAAAAAACAGCAACAACCTTTAAGCAAGTTTCCTAGACATTTATGTTTGGGTCTTCAGCGAGAAATTTCTCTAATGTTAAAGGAAGAATATTCCATTTAGTGCTTTCACATAAAAGGGGCATAAGTCTGCGTGACAAACCAGGTACTTTCCTCTCCATTTCAGGAACCAAAGGTCACTCTGTTGGCTGCATCTGATAAACTCTAAAGCAATCCAGGAGTCTCGCTCCTTCTGGGAGTCCGGAAGAGCCAGACAAACTGATTTGCTTCTTCCTGTTTCACAAAATTAAAAATCTCACTTATACTCAGAGGAGTCTGAAAAGCTCCAACAAAAAGGTCTTTAGCAACGTACTTAACCAAAGCCAGAAGCTTGTCAAAAATCAAGTGCCAGTAGGACAAGACAGAAGGAATTAAAACCTTCTCTCGATTCCTGCCGAAGAAGCAGCATACATGTGTTTGAACTTGTCAGTGGGTGTTTGTGTAACTTCAGCGATGAATCTGCACCTTCCCATCAGCAAAATGTTGGGGTTTTCTGTAGCAAAGAACAGGCTTTTCACAAGCAGATATCTGCCAAGGAGCAGAGTAGGAAAAGATGCAGCTCAGGCTGCAGGGACTATAAATGCTGATCAACCTAATTCACCTCCACATATGGTCCAGAAATAATTCTAACTAATTATTAAACTCTGCTGTGCTATACTTTTTCAGAGTGAAAAGCAGAAGCTTTTCAAATAAAACTTCTCAATATCTGTATGAAGGGAGTGGAATTCTCTATCTATAAGCCCTCAGATCTTAAACATTTGACACTTGCTTAATTTATAGGATCCACAAAAGCTGGTCAAGTTGTGTGGCTAAAGAAATGCAGACTGGCCAGCTCTTCTTAACCCTAATCTGCTTCTATTATCTTTCCTCTCAGCATAATCTTTGATCGAAAAGATGGTTGGAAAAAGATATCAAAAGATAGTTGGAAGATGAGCTTTGGTGGAATAATCCAATGGCTCCTCTGGTAAATGCAGCCACAGGAGTCTGGAGCTGGGAGAAAAGCCCTAAACTGGAAATAAAACAACTTATTCTGGCATGGGAATAGCAGTAGGATTCCTGCACTCCTCGCATCACCTGTGGATCACTGTCACGGGCAGAGTTTAGGTGTTGTCACCCACGTAGGGGCAGCCATCAAGCCACATAATCATATCCTATATATATATACACTTGGGAAGACGCTATATATATATATAGTATCAAAACTATCAAGTATCAAAATTAAATTTTAGAAATAAGGTGCTTCCTTCTGAACGGGATGGACTGATTCATTATGCCCATGTTTTTCAGAAAAATGTGTGGAAAACAGGAAGATACATGAATATTACAGTTTGCCTTTCTAACTTGCTATAGACGGGAGATCTGTTAAGTCAAAAGAAGCGATTCAATGAAAATGTGCATCATCTACCACAAGTACAAACTTTTCTAACCAGCCTCGCAGAATTCCTTGTACCCATAATTAATCCTCTAAAACCCACCAAATTGAACTAGCAGCTACACCTGCCTTTTATTTTAAATGTCTCTTTTTAAAAGAGTGGAGAGGTATGGAAAGCTGCTTTAACAAGCACACTGAACCCATTGTTTATGGCCTCTATAAACATGGCTTAGTAAGAATTACGGACTTAATCAGAGTGAACTTATCTCCTGGTGAAAAGAGCACTTTAAATTTCAGAAATGGCACCTTTACTGTGAAAATCTCTTAACTTTTCAAACAAACTCCAGGGGGCCTTAAACACCAGGTCAGTAAATAAGCAGCAGTTCAGGCAGTCTGTCCCGCTCATGAGAAACGCAACCTTGCAGTAATTTACATATTTGGGGTGAAAGTCTGCAACACCAGAGCTATATTCTATTAGAAATATTATGGGGTGCTGCTCTGTCTCACCCTGCTCACAGGCTTGAGGCAACACTCATCACTATGAGTGACCCCTGCTTTTATTAAATGTTACTATATTATCCCTTTCTCTGCTTCGTATTTTCCACATTCTTTATCACAAAACAAACAAGCTAAACTTTTTTTTTTTTCCAGGAGTTTAGCTCCTTTATAAAACACACATCCCTGACCTCAGTACTTCTCAGGTTTACTTACGTTCCTTACTAAACTGGTGTCAAAAGATAAACCAAGTTGACCATGAGGTTTTGTGAGCAGATACAAATGTGCTCAATATACCACTACTGTGACAATAACAGGAGAGAGAAACTACCGCTCCAAATAACAAAAATTAATGTTCTGGTACCTAGTTTGTACATCATACCTGAACTACCCCCAGAACCTCATGCCCAGCAAGCCTAACCCCCGCGTGCCCCGTGCCCCGTCTCGACGTGGGCAGCGTTTGCCCCGCTTCCTCGGGAGCCCCGACACTGCAGACAGCAACGTGTCAATCTGGCTGCCAGAAGCAGGAAAGGCAACGGATATAAAATTTTATTATTTCATGCCCCAACAGCAGCCAGAAGGACTTAATGAAATCACCCTTAGATTTACAATCTGAAATAGCTATTCAGCAGACAAATACGGTTAGGCTGGATGTGCCCCCTGCCCTTTGCGCGCTTTGATCTTGGCACCGCAGGTGGCCGCTGCCCCCTCCTGTGCATCTTCCCGCTTCCGCCCGCTGCCGGCCTCGCGCGCAGCCCCGGAGCCAGCGCAGGTGACACGGGGCCTCGGTGACACGGGGCCTCGGCACGGGCAGCTCTGCCCACGGCGGAGCCGGCGCTGCCCATGCTCGGCATTGCCCGCGGCGCCTCCCGGCACCGCAGCGTTTGCGCAGCCCGGAGCCCCCGGCATCCCCTCTGCTCGGAATTTCCTATTGAATCAAAATATTTTCCTCTTCCAATTGTCCAAGAACAATTTAACACCTCACGCAGCCTTTTTTCTCAGCACCCTGGAAACCATGTACAGCTATAACTTGGTATATCTGTGAGTGTCTGAATTGCTTTTCATTCTTAACAACTTGTATTTCAGAATATCGGACATATTATCCCTTTATTTAAAACCTGGAAAACATTTATTCAAGTACAGCTAGAAAAAGTAGACTCATTTATCAAACGGAAAGAGATGGCAAAAGCTAAAGACAACTCCCTGCCCCCTAATCAAAAAATATAATTAACAATTAACACCACCACTGGTAAACCTCGGTGGTTAATGAATTCTCGGGGCGCCTTCTGCAAACTGCTGCCGCTCAACGAGCGCGTGCGGGGCCACGCGGCCCGGCTCGCACCGAGCGAGGCCACGGAGCCGCTGCTCCGCGCCCAGGAGCTCGGCCGCTGCGCAGAGCAACATCACGTAGATGGATGGAACCATCACGCAGAAACGCCAAGCCTGTCTCCAGGATACACACACGGAGCTGCTGCCTGCCCCCGTGATGCTCCTTTTGGCTGCTTGTTACATACAGCGAGGCCAGCTGCAACGTCCCAGCGCAACGAAGACACGAGCTCTTGCAGGGCACTTGGTTTTCCTAACATGAATTGACACTGCTGTTTGGTTAAAATAGAACAAAAACAGTTGCACGTGTAGATCATATACACAACAAAACACAACATGATGCCTCACATGCAAACACATTCCTGAGAATTTTACAAGAATAAAAATTTGCAGGCCCAGAAAAAGTCCTGCCAAGAGAAAAGTATAAGCCAAGCTATACTTTTAGAATCATTATGTTTACTTTGAAACAAAGGCTCTTGCTGCGCCCCGAGCAGACCTGCCAAGGCTGCGTTACGCCACGGAGTAGCTGGCAGCCAGGCAGGAGGATTATCCGCCGGCAGCTCCGTACCTGACAGCTCGGAAGCGCTGCCCCAAGGCGAATGGGAACCACATGTGCCCCAAGGCCGCCGGCAGCCCCTAGGTCAAGGGCATCCCTCTTCCATCAGCACCGTCACACTAATAACCCGGCGCAGCAGCCGTTGGTGCCGCGCCAACGCGCAGGGCGCCGCGCAGCTCCCTGCCTGCGAGCCCAAAGTCAGCGTCGTGCAGCGTGACCGCCGCAACAGCAGCGGCTCACAGGTAGGAAAGAAGCAGGGCTGGAAAAGGAGGTGCTCACTGGATACAGCTTCATTTTCCTATCGTGTTGTGCTTTATCAGTACTAAGTACTTATCTTCATCTAATATGATTTCAATTAGTTCTGTAAGCAGGCTCCATTACTCATGTGATGGTCCCAGCCTTCTTATCTAACAGCTTATAAACTTTTAGCCTTCTTTGAAGTCACTTTATGGATTGCTAAATGGAAATCTTATAAAGAATGACTAACTAGGTGATGAGAGAAAAGCTGAAAAATAAGAGCACAAAACACAGCCCTGTATTTTCCACCAAGGTTTTCTCCCATAAATCAGCCGGGGCCCTCTGACCTACAACAGGAGATTATCTTATCTCACTGGAGAACATTTCAGTCACAGCAAATTAGATTTAACAGTCAATGGATATGTTTGATATTTTAATCATAAGAAAAAATTGTCATTTTCCATTAAAGTAACTGCTCCTTCTACAGAGCTGCAACGTAACCTGGGAAACTGCCGTCAGATTTCAAGATGCCCAATGGTTTGAGAAAAGTCTGTCCGGGGAAGTCAGACGGCGCGTTTTGTTTTAAAGTATTTAAATTACTACAATATTTCTTGCAGAAGATCTGCTCCAAGACAGGGATCATGATGACCCGCAGAAACAAAACCACAGCTAGAAAATTGTTTTTTCCCCGCACCAGAGTTCGGCCCTCGTGCTGCACCACGGATATTCACACACCTGCGTGGGCAGCGGCGCCAGGGCAGCGCCCCGAGCCCCTCTCACCGGAGCTGCGAGGCCCAGCGGGAACGGAGACCCGCGGAAGCCGGAGCCCCAGCACGCGAATTAGCACCGCTCATTTAGACACTTACCTGCCCAAACCCTTTACATTACATGAAAAATAAATACTGGTTGATGACAGCATCCTCCTAGATGCAGTTTATACAGCTCTTTTGATAGGGAAACATTAATAAGGAGCAAGAATGCTGCTGCATAATGAGAAGTTGTTACTCTAGCAGAACGTACAGCTTTACACGTATGAAGAAAAGGACAAAGAAAAGAAAAAAACTTTTGGCACCAAAACCACAAATCTAGCACTAGCCAAGCTGTGTATTCTGTCTGTGCAGACAGACAAAATATTTATAAAAGTTGAAAAATATCTGTATTAATATATTATCTCACCTTCTACCAGGCAGTGGTTTTAAAAATACATACATCCCTAATAAGCATGCCAATGAATATTTAGTACAGATACAGGACAGAAAGACTCTTACTGAATATCAGAAGTATAGGATAGACTATTTCTCCCTAGACATTACTTCAGTCCCATCTGTGCAGTATTCAAGTGTCATTATGAGAAACCCCTCTAACATAAATATAGGATGTGCAAGAAAAGCTACATGTTGACTTTTAAAATAATTACTTGTTCACTAACACATCGTACTGTCATTCATCAATCTGTACTTTTTTAGCAATACAAAGGGCATCAAAAATCATCTGTCCGTGGCCAGGAGAGAGAAAAAATTTTTAAAAGGACCTTTAAAAGGTAACTCCTAAGAAAGTGTCTCATATTAGTAATGGAGAAAAAAAAGAATTTTATACAATAACAACTTGATTAAAAATAAAATTAAAAAATAACTTGTCTTAAAATAGATATAGACGACCTTTTCACAGAACTGCCCTAGTGAGAGAGTATGCTTTACATTTTCACAGAAAGTAGACATTGTTATGGTCAATATAAGAACAGATATTTTGATAATATATGGCTGGTAATGCAAATCTCAGCAGTGTAAATTTTAAGTATCCTAAATAAGTATCCTGAATATCCGTATGTAGGAGTCTAAAATACAGACACAAATCAAAGAATTGTCAAATAATTGTGCAACTCCTACAAATTCTAGTCTGCCACTTAAACTAACCGCTTTCCAAAAGGCAGCATTTTCTTTGCAGGAATACCTCTTACCACCCTTGGTATATTCATGTTGTTCAGACTTCCTGTGTAAAGAGGCACAAGTAAAAAGGACAAGGATTTTCCTAAGGATCTAAATTAATAGCTTATGTTGTCCTCCAGATACTTTTGAAGTCATTCACTGTTTCAACACTATTAGAAGCAAAAGAAAAAGTGCTATTTCCACTTACAGAGTTTTCTTTAAAGTTACATGAATTAGTCTGAATTGTTTGCATGTTAAGGTTTTTGTGAGGGCTGGTTTTCTGCCAGCTTTGTGTTAACATTAACAACAAGTTCCTTGTTTTCGGATCTTCTGAACACCAAAAAATTAAAAAAAAAAATTAAAAAAATCACAATCTGTCTGCAAAAGTTGGGGGAGATGAAGAGGAAAGCAAGCTCTGTAACTGTCAACATTTTGATTAATATCAATTCTGCCTTTCTGAATAGAGAGCCAAACTGAGTAAATAGTGAACTGCTTAAATGAAGCAGCAGGACGGGGAAGGGAACACAACATGAGCTCATCACTAACCCCCGACCTGCGAACAGAAAGCATGCCCAAAGAGGGGAAGGGACCAAACAGGACTCCCGTGAGACACGATGTTAACAGGTAGGCTTAACGTAGTCACCTGAGCCATCCCAAATGAATTAGCACTATTATTTAACTTTTAAGCATATGAGTGCATATATAATTGCTTGCAGAATTTAGGTCTAACCCGTAAAACTACCCATATTCCCAAAAACAGTGAGAAAGACTTACCTCCATCAAACTTAAATGTATTCCAATGAGGTAGGGCATTGGGGCACTGCAAAGAGGAAAAGAGCCTAGCTTTACATTCTCGTAACACTGCATGAACACATATCACTTATAGGCATACTGAGCTAGGTTTTGTTAAAAATGTGTAAATAAACCACAAAAGCACAAGACTGGATTCCATATTTGATACCTATTTGGTTAACTTTACTGTTTTTTAAAGTTAATTACTTACTGATTAAGGTAAGTCAGATAAATAAGGACACTTACTTATTAAGAACAAAATATATTAAGCATAATTTTCAGTTAAATGCCTAGGCTTTTTCTAAACAGTGTTCTTTAGACAGACCAATCCATTTGTTACATTAAGTGATTAATTTAATGTATATGTATCACTGAATGATATGAATTTTAAGCCCTTTAATTATGGGTCCAGAAACATTTTAATTTCTTCTAAAACATAAATCATGGAACATTTACATAAAACAAAAGAAAAATGGCTTTGGAATATTTTGATTACATCCAGAGTCACTGTGATCACCTCTATTACTTATTTCAGAACACCAAACTCAAATACACCAACAGGTTCTTAAGACAAGTTTGTCATCTCAAACACAGATACACAACTTCTACTAGCAAAAAGGAAGTAAACTGAGAGAAAGACTGATCTAACTGGGAGAAAGACTGATCTTTCCCACCTTCTGCTCTGTGATGTAGCAAGCACAGGCAAGGACTACATAACACAGGAAGAATCCTGAGGAAGACTGGTATCCTTGCACGGACTATATCTCTAATACCAAGCTTTAGTGCAGCCCTCCCACTCAACCAAGCAGCAAAGACTTATATTTGCACTGCTTATTAGGACACATCAAAGAAGATGCCAAAGCTGCTAATTGCAAATGTGGCATATAATGCCTGTTAAACCAAAGCACACAGACAGACACAACTTTTAAAATAGAGGCTCATTTGATTTTGGATCCAGAAGCTCAAAGAGATGACTTTCAAATTTAGATGAGAAATGAGAGAAATGTCACTGTACTGTCTTGGATGAAAATATCTTCAATAAGAGTTTTTAGAAAGCGGCGCCCACGGTTCCGTAGGAGAAGCTGCAGTGCTGAGAGCGCTGCTGAGATACTACCAAAACGCTGCTTCTCACAGCCACGAGAACCTCCTCTTCAAGAAACACAACTGACTGATACATGTTCGAGCACTGACCGTGTTTAACAAAGCACCTAGAACTCCTGCGCTGCTGGACGCTGCGCTGAGGAGGAGACGGGCACTCTGCACCGAAGCTTTAGGGGTTTTCCTCCTTTTTGAAGCCATTAGGCACACATGCCTTTAGAGGGGGAGGAAAAAAAACACACAAAACCCCCCCAAATTGTGTGTGTCCCCTCCGTGCACACACACATGCCCACAACGCAGCTTGTGCCTCTGCAGAGCACTAAAGTGACATGTGCCACGTTCCAACCTACTGAATTGCACCGACCACTAAGAATATCTTAGATATCTAAAGCAAAAAGAGTTAAGAAGTTAATAAGAAATTAATAACTTCTTATTCTTAGAATAAGAGGTTCCACCTAATAAAGCACTTTTTAATAGTCCAGAGAGATTGTTAAATCAGAATCTAACTTGGTAAAAAATCCACAAATTCAGCATCACCAGGAGGTCCCAGATGAGTAGCAGAACCTACAGCCAAGCTCCTTGGTAAAGGTTTTTACCATACAACATGATACACTTACTGCATATGGACTGCTGCTCAACTAAGGAGCAGTTTTATTTGTCATTTTGCATGTTTTATTTGTGACAAACACTACCTCTTTCACCCATATCTCTTCAATTCCAATGGCCACTTTCCAGAAGCAAGAAAATATCCAGTAATTTAATATTCAAAGTATAAACCCTTGGTGTAGCTGCCAGCTGCACAAATGCTCAACTCCCCTGTACGGCAGCTCTGCTGCTCGAGCTCCTCCAGCACACGCTGAAACGAATGTGTTTCTAATTAAGCAGTTTCAGGAACACGACAGCTTCAATCTCAAAAATACAAAGTCTGAACCTCGGCAGGAAGTCTTAAGCCTGCAAATGTCTCATCTAGTGGGAGCTTGGCTAACGTAATGAGAGGAAGCAGGAAGAGCGCCGTATTCCAGAAAGCAGCCACTTATTTATGTGTCCAACAGCAGAGCCTGTCATGAGCACAGGGGAATGCAGAGGTTAATTAAGTGCATAATGTCCATCTTTCAATTTTACAATTTATGAACAATAAATAAATAAATAAAAGGAGATATCAAAGCACTTGAAATCACACCCCTCCCCTGAGATTTTAGGGAACTACAAGAAATGATATGGTTTCAGGGAGGCAGCTCAGCTCTGGGAGCAATGAACCATCTTCTCAATTTTCTAATAACAGGCAGTACATCTAAAGGCAAAAACAAATAACTGTTACAGGTATTACAGGGAGCGCATAATGACTACAGTAATCTATTTTTAGCACCATTTTCTTGTTTTTATAAACTATAAGAATATAAACTTTATCTTTAACTCTGTTTTTATAAACTATAAAAATATTTTAAATTTTTGTATCATAAAATATTAAAGAAAAGCAGGAGCTTAATGTGCTATGTGATGTACGTATCTGGAGGGGCAGGAGAAAGCAGGAAGAACAAATCTGAGGTTATAGCACTACAAAAAAAGACACCACTGGTAACAGCCACCTTGGTGGGCATCTACGGAGCGCTCATCAGAATGGAACGTTGTGAGGGGAGAGCCCAGGAGAGAAGAGCCACGGAGTATCTACGACTCAGAGTTAACACGAACATGATTTTAGATAAAATCAGCGAAGCGATTGGAAGCAAAATCCAAATATTACTCTATATGTCTATTTGCATAGGGAAAATTACTATTACAATTTATGAAAAATATGCTTATGATTTATTTGGATTATTATTATACACACTGTTTATTTAGATGTGCTTATCACTGAAATATGAACCTTATTTTTTTTTTTCAATGAGTATCAATACCTCAATTGTTCTGTATACATAACTTACTAAAATTCATGCTGTTTGCCAGGGCTGCCGTTATTGTTTGGTGATACACAAACAATAAAGCAAAAGCAAAAATATTTTAAGGATAATTCATTGCAATGACTCCTTATATCCCCAAAACATTAATCAAGAATACTCATAAATAATCTGAATAAAATATAATTCTGGTAAACGGCATAAATAAAATATAAATAAAATAAACTAGAGAGATAATATTCTTCTGTCATTGCTTATCAATCTCTCCCAAAGAAGAAATAAACCTTGCTGTGAATGCTGAAGATTCATATCACACCTCATAATCTGCTTTTATCACTGTTTTTGTTTACCATGTGTTAATTATATGCCATTACTTAAACACCCGGGTACCACAGTGTACCAGGGAACACTGTGCACCCCTCTCACCCATTGAGGACACGCTGCAGCATTTCCTCCTAACTGCGGTTCAGGTCCTGACACATGAAAACTGGAGCAGTTCTTAATATTTTGTCAGATCAGATGTGTATTCCTAAGGCTTTCCAGCCACCCTTGGGCACACCGCTTGGGCAAACAGCACAAGCCATCTGTGCAAGCCCTTGTCCTTCCAAGACCCGCTGACAGACTGCTCTTCACACAGGTTTCGACCTACTGCTTGAGACTTCGGGTTAGTCCTGGGACTTCCTATAGTCACAACTGCTGGTTACTCAGAGTTGTTTGATGGCAGCCAACATCCATTAAATGCAAAATTTATAAGTATCAATTTCTACTACGTACATCTACTGCTTAAACAAAATGCCTGCCTAAGTCTTTTGGAACAAAGAGAAAGGTTATTATTCTTCTTGTGCTGCACTAGTTCCCAATGCAAACAGGTTATTTATAATCAAATGAGCTATATAGGTAAATATCAAATCATTAAAGCAGCAATGCTTAAGCATAAATATGGATATTGTGGACTTAATGGCTACATGCTGCCTATTCATTACAGTTGCATTTTTACAATTTCTTTTTTAATTCCTTTCCTTAGGCTAACTGGAGACCTCTTAATTATGCTCCCAAGAGGTGGTTAAACTACTAATTGGAAGAGAAGCAGGTGAAATAGAGGGACATTTCCTCTTAAATGAAAAACAAAAACAAACAAACAAAAAAACCTTTAAAAATACTGCAATTCAACAGAAAACATAACACAGAAAACCCTGGTTTTACAGAGGTTCGTTGTTCATAGGTATCCAGGGATTTGCACAATTTTGTTCCATTGTTCCAAAGACAACTGATCAGATTAAATTTAATAAGTTCATGTCTTGATACACACTGACAATCTGTCACTCTTCCACACTAAAGAGTACTTTACTCTCTCAGGTAGTTTCTTGATTTCTTATCAGATTTCCCACTGAAAAGCAAACAGAATTCAATCCCAAACGTATTTAGGTAATTGATGCAAATTAGGAACTTGATTACATGCACTGGAATGGGGCAGAAAGAACATAGTTAAGAAAGTACAAGAGCTTTCAGCGAGCACCCAGATGTACTAGGTTGACTCAAAGTGTGCACTGAGAAGCTCCTGACGAAGCACTTGCTCCCCGAGGGCAGCAGTTCTCACCCTCAGATCCCCTACCCACCGACCAGAGGAGCACATCGAGCTATGTGCAGACTCTGAAAACAGGAGAAAAGAATTTTAAAAACTCCCGGAGAAAGGGAAAAGTGCACCAAAAGAAACATTTGTTCAGCAACTGTGCCGGTGTGCTCCGAAAAGACGGTTCTCTGAAGGTATTAATGTTGGCTGCAAAGCAATCTTATATTGGGCTTGCAATGGAAATAACCAGACATAATTAAAACTAAACAAACTCTTTAATTTTAAATAATCTCAGGTTATTCCTCTGAAGATGCATAAATCTATAAGCACTAATACTGCCTTAAAGTAGTGAGCACAATGCTCATTTCTCAGTCTTCACAGGCAAAATTCACATGGTTAGAAAATAGATGGACTCTATTTTGAGGAAAGAATTTATGGCACATAAATTGTTGCTAATTGATATATTCAAATGATTACAGTGTGTGATTACCACTCCAATTAGAGTTCACATGAGGCTAAAGCATGCAGTTGTATCTATGAGTGTGTGATTACAGCGTGCCTCCTAATGACAGGTTTGGAAATGGCACTTTTCCCGCCCTAGCCGGCTGGGCAGTGACCTGCACAGGGCACTGGGCACTCCGGGCACCCACCCAGCGCCCGGCACTGCCTCGAGTCTCCGTTTCCTTGGTCGCACACCTCTGCTCCCAGCTGCGGGATCTGCATTCGGCCCCTTTTAACACGTCCGTGCCACAAAGTCAATGAACACCTAATCTCCAAGCCCAGCATGGAAGCCTCCTGTGCTGCTCGCTGCTGTTCCTGAAGCCCAGAGCCAGGGCAGCCGCCTCGGGGTGCTAATTGGGGTGCACCCAAGGCACCTGCTGGCACTGAAAATGAGTCGCGTGGCCCTGCCCGCGCTCCGCGCGCTGGACGGCTCCTTTCTACAGCGGGTAGCAGTTTCTAGATACCTCTCCATGTACCCCCAACACAGGCACACACTGAACATTTAAATCATTTACAGAGGAGCGAGTGTCCTTTAAATCTACATGTTTTAGCTCCTAGCACTACACTTAACGCTAGTTGTTAACCCTGCAGTTCCTTACTCAGGAGCGCTGCAGAAACTCTTGCTTAACATCACGCAGCAATACCACAGAGTTAGTATCAAAAAAGTCAGTTTTAGGGCAACTAGGGACCCTGACTGAAACCAGTGAATTTGAAGCAACGGAATTAAAATTTGTTGAGATTATTTGCTCTTCTCAGAGTAGTGATCCATTTACATAATAGTTGTGCTGTGCAAGTGATCAAATATACAGTGACCACTGATGAGGCGCTGCAAAAAAGGGAAAACCAATTAACACAAGAACTACAAAGTCTCTGCAGATGCTTTACCAAATATTTGCAAAGATCTGACCATTACATCAAGTTATATTTATAACAGAATTTGACAAAAGCCTTCTAAACAGCACCACATGGTACAATGGTCATGTTATGGGCACGCATTTTCCTTCAGGATGTTCACGTAAGATGTTGTATATAATCTATTACCAAACAAATAACATTTCAAATAAAAAATACATCACAGTAGAGATCAGCTTTTGAGAGACTGCCACGTCCTACCTTGGTACCGTGATGACATGGTTACTTGTGTGAAATTGTGTTAATAGGAACACTTCCAATTCACACTTTTCTCCAGTGCTGCAATGATTGTGACCTTTGGGTTTCACCATCTTAATACTCAAAAATTGGCAGTAACTCTATTGGATCCTACTACGAAGGTTAAGTAAACTTAACTGTGCTTGCTTAAGTAAATTAGTAAATTCATATCTTTAACATTAAACAGATATCCTGATAAAAGATTTTAAAACAAAAATTGCAATAGGCCACTCAGAGACTCTGAAGATACTGGTACCATTTCATCATGCTGCACAATAATACTGGTTACTCACCAGACTGGTCACTTCCTTAATACACATATATATTTTTAGACTAACTGTTGCCTCACAAAAGCCCTTAAGACTTACAATCCACAACAGTGCTCACGTTTCTGTATCTCACTGATATACATAGCCTTACCAGCAGTAGTCCAGTAGATGTGGGGGCAGAACAGGAATGTAAACATGTTGCCAGAACATTGGGTAGAGCATAGCTGCAGACCCATGAATGCAGGCAGTTAACTGGAAAACACAAAATTAAAAAAGATCATAAATAAGACAAAAAAGTTTAGGCTAACGTAAGTTTAAATAGCTAAAGTTAGAAGAAAAAAACGAAAGTATCCATTTTGTTTTTGTAGAAACATTCTATATTACATAATACACCATGCTCTTTTAAAAAAATACATATACACACAGTGGTGGGTGAAGCAGGAGTGGCTCCCCTTGGTTGCATTGGACTTAGCTCGTTAGCAGCCAAGAACACGATTTACTCAGTAACCCCAACCTGCCAAGGACCCGCCGTGTTCCGCAGAGCAAGAGGAAGGAGGAAGCGAAGCACAACGGGAAGAAACCAAACCTGAAGGCCAAAACCCCGTTCCTGGCAATTATCACCCAGCAAATACCATAATACTCTACTAGAGATAACAACTACATGTGTTTCTCAAGCAGGTGCTTTGCAGTAGCAAGAAAGTGACTATAAAAACAAATAAATTTTTATCTTACAGCACAATATACAGATTTGGTTTTAAATCACTCATAAGCTAAGACTCTACATGACAAGTATAAACCTACAGAGAACTTTAATGGTAAAAGATTCAGAGGAAAAAAAAAAAAAGAATCGAAAAGGCAGAATTTTAAGCTCTAACTCCCAGAGAGCCATCGCAGAGATGTTAGGACACTTAACATTACTTTTATAATTATTCTATTAGCATTTGTATTATCCTTCCCTTATGATCAAACCTTAAACATACTCACATTCATTCATACTTCTGCTGTCACTAAGATATTTGAATAATAAAAGCTCATTTAGATGAAAGTACCATTTTCTTTTGGAAACGCAAGAAAAGAAGGGCTTAATTTAGCAATCTCTAAAGATTTGGAAGGCAGGCCCAGATGCTTGACCAAGGCACTTGGATATGGAAATTCTGTTAGAAATGGAAAACAGGCTTTTCAGAAACGCCGATGCTCAAATAGTTAAACTAAAGGTGCAGATTATTTGCAAATTTCTAGCAGTTCTTTGGCCGTGTTAGATAAAAATATATAATGTATTTTCCTTTTATTATTTCTGAATTCAAATTAGGAACAATAATTATCATTCTTTTCAAATCTGTGAAATTAAATATTTCAATTTGATTCAAGCTTTCACCCAGGGGCTAGTTTATCTCTTTGTTGAGTCCTGTGTGCCCACTTTCACTTACAGGTCACAAAGGAAGAATGATTTTACAAAGACTGATATAAAGACTTGTTTTATGTTTCTAAGCACTAAGATGAATCTGTTAAAAAAAAAATTACCAACAGTTTAGGGAATATCTTCAAACTGAAGCATGGGGTTTTGACACTAAATCCTAACAGTGAGGATTATAAAATTAACACATCATACAATAAACTAACATTCTGTCAGCACCATTTTGTAATGGAAAATGTATTAATCTAAATCAGAAAACCTCACTGTTGATTTTATTTACAAATACTTTAATTCCTTTTTTGTAGGCATAAGTCAATGATTTCCTGAAAGGAAGGACTGTTGGCATCAACATGTAACCTTTCCAATAATAGAAAGGGAACCAAGCATATTTTCAAGTAATTGTAAGGTATTAATAGTTCATGTAACCTTTAGCACCTTGTAGAGTTCAGTGTGAGGACAGTGAAGTCGCTCATCACTGGTGAAGCTGAGCTTTTCAAATGTCACATCACATCATTGACTACAGATACAATAGTTGTATGGACACATTTCTGTTCAGTCTGGAGAATAACTGCATTTATGTTAGTGGCAGGAAGATGCTAATTTTAGATTGATGACAGTTTTACATTCAACTACATATCTCTGCAGGAGATATTTTAGTCATATACAAAAGTTAAAGGTACAAAAAAAACAAATATAAGCATTTACAAAAAGCGAAAAACTATGTAAACTTTATTATAAAATATTCTATTTAACATCAGCACAAACTCTCCTGGAAATAAAAGTCAGCAAAATATTAGAAACTGTAGACACACAATATGCATGTATTGTTTTAAAATAAAATTTACAAAGGTATATGCTAATTTGAATTAGCTTTAGAATTTCACACACAAATATACTACAGATCTAAATAAAAAAAATCAAAATCACAAATAGTAGGAAAATAAGTTAGATATATAAAGTTTTGCCTACATGTTACCCTTCTTGTACTTTCCACTGCTCTGTTTGATCGCGTTGGAGCTGGCGCGGATGAGGACTCATGCAGTATTCACACTGTGGGTGAGCCACGAACATACCAGGTGGCTCAATGCCCTCTTTTCTGATCTCCATTCCAATCACAACAATTTCTTTGCTTTTAAGCTACTGAGCAGCTTAAGCATTGAGCTGGCTATTAAACTTTCATTTTGTCTTCCATAAAAGCACATTTGGTTCCAGTAGAGTTGCATTAGATGTTGGCTAAGAATAAGATGTTGGCCATTAATTCCTATGCATGTTAAAGTGTCAAGCAATCTGAAACAACATATTCTGTTGAACACTTGAAACAAGCATCCTGCTTGTTTCCCATCTGACTGAAACAGTCTCAAACGAACCTTGGATTAACAGCAACATTTATAATGCCACCGATAATTCCAAAGATACATCGCCACCATTTGCTGAGCTCTTTATTACTCTTTCCTTGTGTTTGGTCTTGAACAACTTTGCCAATGCAAATGCCAGTTCCCACTCATGCATTCCCATCAGCGGGAATACGCAAGAACTTCAGCTGGGTTTAAACCACAGTCCTGACGGAAAAGGGTCTTTGGGAGCAGACAGTGTACAGCAAGCATATGAGTACGTTCAGTCACTCTAAGAAAGCTCTCCGTTAGCAGGTGGTCAGTATTTATGGTCCATATGAGATAAGAATATCAGTATGCTAAGACTATAATTAAAGCAGAAGCTAGAAGACACAAAATCTGAATTTTATTCTTGATTTTTGATTCAAATGCTAAAGCTTTATCACTATTCAATTTTATTTCCACCTACAGTATCGCTAATGGAGAAGACCTTCCTCTCCCACAGATTAGATAAAAGGTGTATAGTCTAGTTCAAAAACAAGCAGCAGTAGTAAAGGATATGGTTTTCCAGAGTAGTTGCTCTCTACATTCCTGAATCCTCTAAACCTTCAATTTCTATTCCCCAAAGCACAAGGAGATGAACAGGAAAAAATACTTATATTTAATCCTTACTTAAAAATTGCTTCTGTGGTGAAGAACTGGATTATTTCCTTATATTATTATATAACATGGTTGCCTGTGATAGTAGAAGACTGAACTCCATGATCCAAGAAGGCCCTTTCCAAATCTCTGTTCCATGGGTTTTAAATCTCAGCAACAAAAGATTAAACAGACATAATGCTCAACACTGCAGACATCTGAGCAGAAGCTGTCACTTATTTTTGAGATGTACTCCCACCTTGCTGTCTGGCCTGAATTCAAAAAACATACTACCGTGGGTAAGCACCAGTACTGTCCTTCAACTCTGCCAAGATAAGGGCTCATGAAAAAGAAATCGCATGTTTGCTGGAGACCTCACCTGATTAGCGATTGCTACACAGAAAACAAGTGCTTAATAATAAGGCAGCCTGAGAAATGCCCAACTGTCAAAACTATAGGAATCCAGCATTCTGAAATTAGATTAGTTCCACTATCTCAGCTTCCTGCAGCTGTTGCTAGAGAATGTAAAAAGATAGCTACTTAAAAAAGGCACCAATCAACTAACTCGCTTCTCACAGTTTTAACATTTAATACTCTGAAAGACGTGTTCGAGTAAATTAATCAATGGGCTTTTGTCACATTGTAAAAACTATAAAATGATGTTGGATCACGACTGGCCATTTTCCAGTGTATCCTGCTCCTACTGCTGCTGAACACGCGCTGCAGCCCCGGGCTGAGCGAGGCTCCCTGGCAGGAACAGGCACCTTCCCGGTTCCGTCCGAGTCTTCTGCCCTGCTCAGAGGCAAAAAGCAAGCAGAAAGTGTTAGACCGAGTCCCACGAGAAGCACGTAAGGAGCGCAGAGCTGTTACAAGGTGGAGCCTGACCCCGGCAGAAGCTCCTTGGGAGTCTGTAGCGCCCTGGGAAGGCAGAACTGGTGCCTGCAGAAGGGTGGCTTTAACACTGCTAGCAAGAAGAGGGCAAGCTCTTTCCTGGAGAACCTCACGAGTACCACTGGAAATGTTATTAATCACAGACCGTAATTTCCTATATCCCACATTTCCTTATGTGTAAAGCCCTGAGCTACGTCAGAAGCCATTTAGGGAATACGAGTCCATACACTGGAGGGCTCCGTGATAGCAAAGAACTGAAATGGCAAACTGTCAGCTTCCAAGAACAAAAAGAAATATCCATGCCAGAACAGCTTTTTTTGTTCCAGACTAATAATGGTAAATTAATTGAAAAAATCACAGAGATAATCATCTCAGTAACATGGAGCCAACAAGCATCATAGAAATTCACAGATTGACTTTCTTTAAGCAATCTTCTTCACCAAGACTCAACCTGCTGCACCCATTACCACATTTAATGTGTACACCTTGTTCAGACAGGGCTGCAAGTCACGATGGAAAGGAAAATACCAGACACAAGCAACACTCCTCTTCTGCTTCCTTTTAGCAACAGCATGTAGCCACCATCAGGTGGTCTTTTGCCAGGCACAGTTTTTTCTGCATTCTGGTTCACATTTGGCTTTGCGCAAGGAGTTAGATCACAAGAGTGCTCAAAAAAATGCTCTAACATGTTGAGAAATTACTTGAGTTGCCATTTGTAGTAAAAGAAAAGAAAAGAAAAATTCAAGCACACACAATAAATCTTCCATGGCTTCAGTACACATGTTTATGAAATAGATAATAAACACCATCACTTTCAGATACCTCTACATCTTATTCACCATGATCATATTAAGAACCTTTCTAATCAAAATTTAGATTTTATGAGATTTACTAGAGCATAGGACTCATTCTACTACAAAAGACTTTTCTTTGCTGGACTGTTTAATTTCCTCTCTTCTACTTGATATAATAATATCATATAATAATATGATATTATAATTAAGCCTTAAGTACGAAGGATATCTCTCAAAGGGAAAAGAAATTACACAGGTCCCTTCTACCTTTTTTTGTTAAAAAAAAATCACGAGGAAACAACCAGAGCAGCCCTCCCCCAGGCCTGGCTTTACTCGAGAATCCTCCGCTTGGTACGTTTCCAGTTACAAGGTCTTGGCTTCCGCTGAGCGCAGTTTGAAATAAAATAATGCAGCTTGTTCCTACTGCTGGAACACGCAGAGCGGAGCGTGCAGGCAAGGAAGAGCTGGCTCCGGGCCAGCGCTTCAAACCTGTCTTACACTGTCACTCCAGTCTTGGAGCAGTTTATATATAAAGTTGTAAGATAAGAACACACAGTATGAATACCCCTCCCCACCAAAGAACCAGACACACTTTTATCTTGGGCAGAGGCAAAAGAAGAGGCACAGCAGAAAGATAGGGAAGAAAACACAACCCTACTTGTGAAATGGCTCATTAAGGAAGGCAAGGTGACAGGTAGGTAAGTAATTCTTCTTCCCAGACTCTGTTACAAAGGGAGATTTTAAAGCAACCACAAATATTTGGAAATGCTTTGCTATGCTACTTCCTTCTTTCGTCTCCTGTGATAATTTATATTATTTTTATTCTTTAGGTCTCTGAGATAAACACCTCTCCTTCACATTTTATTTACTTCCTAGGCCACGAGGTATTTTTGTTTATTTTAGTAGAGAGGACCTAAAATGCTTAGTAGACACCAAAGTTAAGAGTTTGTATTTTACAAGAGTTTTCTTCAAAAGTAAACTTAATATTGAACTTAAATTCCATGGTTATGTATGGGACTTGATCGTAAACACTGGCATATCCAAGAGATTATTGTAAATATCCCAATTTCACTTGCTTTCAAAATCATATTGAAGCAGTTATTCTGAGATGGAGTATGAAGACTTACTCTTTTCTTACCCAGTATCAACAGATTATTCTTTTGTGCTTTTCATGTGTATTATCCTTTTCTTACCCAGTATCAACAGATAATTCTTTTGTGCTTTTCATGTGTATTATTTCAGTCTTCAGTATTTTTTCCAAGCAGTTATAATCTCAAACACAAAATATTTGGTGGTCATATGGTAAGAGGCCAGATAACAGTACACAAAATGGAAATGGAAGCTTGTATTTTAGCAAGGACTGTTCAAGTATCCAAGTCCATAGCACTAGAAAACAACATTTATTAAGCCATCTTATGTTTGTTATTCATAAAGGAAAGCAATCAATACCCATTTACAGAGCAAATATAATGAAAACTTAACATTCTCTTTTATAAAGAAAATCACAGTCTTATTGACTGATAAACCTTGAAATCTATGACACAAAACTCCGAACTAAATCAAGCTGTGTATTTGGTTTTCATGTGCAGCCATTTTCAGAAGAGAGTGCTCTAGTGCTCACTAGCTTTCATCTCTCAGATCGCTGATGGAGGCTAAGTACCCTCGAGACTACACCCTAGCAAGCACAATGGCAAAAAGTCTGGATTGTCAGTGTATTTCAGCCCACCATTTGGGTCCATGCAGAGAAGGTCATCCAAAGATGAATCTTTTAAATGACTGTACCATTGATCTTTTTTTCTGTTGAGTAAATTTATGAAAAAGGGACTTCACTTTGGCATAACACATACCTAACATCTATATCCAAAACAAAACAAAAAAATCTTTTTTATTTAAACATTTGAGGCCAACAGAACTTCAGTAAAAAAACACTTCTCATGGATTAGTTGATGTTGGAAGGGAACTCTGGAAATCAAACTGAAATTCCCAGCTCAAGCATAATCAGCTGGTTGCTCAGGGTCCTGTCCAATTGGGTTTTAAGCATCTCCAAAGGTGGAGACTCTACAACCTCTCTGCGCAACTCATCCAACTGTCTGACCCACTTCACAGCTTCTTCTTAAGTTTAGGTGGAATTTGTTGTATTCCAGTTTGTGCCTTTTGCCTCTTGTTCTCTCACTGGATGCCATTAGCAGGAACATGGCTATATCTCCTGTGCTCCCTTTACATTTTTTGTAGGCCAAGTACATTTTTTGCTTTTATATACTTAAAGAACTAGAGATTATGATAAAAAACTAATTATTACAGCTATTTCTAATTATGAAAGTAGGGCTCCAACTCTGTTTATTAAGTCCTTCATAAGTAAAGACCTTGTTACGAATTTTTGAATATTCACACGTATAGGAAGTCCCACTTCAGTACCCTGTTGTATTTTTACACAGTTTTAAACCTTTTTACTCAAATTCAAAGAGAATTTCCTATAAATTACTGTCAATTTTAAAAAGTACTGTGAATAGAAGAAAGTACTCTGCCATTTACTTACAGTGCTCAGCTTACTACAACAAATGAGGATGCGGCGTTCATACAGCATACTGGCATAGAGATGCAGCATGTTGTTGACATCAACTGCTACAAAATACTCTGTTAGATTTCTCTAGAAGAGATAAAAATAATTTCTGATTAATAACATTACAAAATAAGTATCCTTCAAAAAAAATAAAACTTTCTATTATGCTGCATCCAATACGTGACTTAAAGAAAGAAAACAAGAGGTCAGATCATCCTGCCTAAGAAAGGGCTTTTTAACTGTATTATCTTTTGCCTAATTTTTTGGTGGGAAAACACAAGCTAGAAAGAATGACACTAGTGTTTTGAACCCCTCACTTTGGACACAAGGAAGCAAAGCTGCTGAATCTTTGCCTTACACTTCATGAGCGGCACAGCTTACTTTCATGTTAATGTTTTTCAGAAAATGAATAGCTATGTATAAATCATTGTAAATAACTGGGAAAAAATAACAACAACAACAATAATGCCAGCTCTACAAGCTCTTACAGTCACTCCATACCCAGCCCACAGGCCATCCCATCAGTCAGCACCACTGTCCACACAATGGCACACATCATGTATTATTTACTGAAGAATTATAATGCCTTCTAACAAGTAACAGAATGAAAATTTAAGAAAGTGTTTATGCAGAAAACTAGAGAAGAAAAAAAAGAGAGTTAATTCACCCAAAAATGCTGAATTGGGGAATTTTGTTCCAAATAGCTTCCTGTGGATGTAAAAGGATGGCTGTATGGTGAAGATAGTCTTATACAAAAACCACACGTGAAAGCAAAATTAGATTAGTCATGAATTCGAGTGCAATCTTAATCATCGTTAAATAAAAAAGCACAGAAAAGCAAGAAGCAAATATGATTTAGAATCTTAAAGAAGCTCAACAAAGCCCATTAGCACTTTTGACAGATCCAAAGATAACTCTAAACCCACCAATACTTGGCCTGAAAAGTCTGCCAAGATGCTTCATACTGTGCAAAAATATGTTCCACAGCTTGCCATCCAAACATAAAGAAAGAACTAAAGAAAAATCAAGGGTTGTATTTGGAAGAATTGTGTACTAGTATGTAGATAGACAGATAAAAAATAAGCTTATTTTAGTAAGCTTCAAAAACATTAATATAAAACAATCATTCAGGTATTTGTTACAGAAAAACTACAGCCAGAGACAGGTATATTCTAAAAAGAAAGAAAACAGCCAACACATTTTGCCAAAAACCCATTAAACTATCATGTACTTTTTCTGTATTTCTCATCCCATCTGTGCTGATTAGCATGATATTTGTGTCTAAACAGAAGCTGTCTTCTCTGAGGCTCTTCTTCCCCCTCTCACTCATCTATCCATGATGCCAAAACACAGTGCGTGACGACACAGTCACTGCAAATAATGGGAGTTAAAGAATTTGCAGGTAGCACCAAATGCAGCAGGTAATGCCTAGATTCATCCGAGGACCTAGATAAGCCTCTGGGTGTATGTGCTTATGATAAAAAAAGTATCAGCTAGTGAGAGGAAAATAGAGACAAGGACTTGATATGCAATTATTCTTTCATCAAGTTTATTTAAGTGATAGAGTGGCTTTGACAAACAAATGTACTTTCAGATGGAAAGATTTATAAGGTTTTAGTCTTCTCTGCTCTCAGAAATTTGCAAATAACACCTGTGAAGCATGTGGGTTGCATGGCAATGTATTGATACTAAGGAAATTCACGTGTTAGCTCTAAGTTTTATTTATAAGAAAGCTGTCATCTTTGAAGATGAAATTGGGACTTACACATGTATTTTGAAAGATATGTCTCGTAAGTGACAAAACCATGAACGAGTTAAATAAATACAAGTGAAAGCATTCCAATTTGTAGTATATTGTACATTTTGTTTCCTAGGATTTAAGCTCTCTTGGGACAGTAGAAATGGGACTCAAAATATAATAGGGAAACTGGTATCTCCCTTCCTCTCAAAGTTCAGTAAGTGGCTATAAAATTCCCTTACTCTCCTATGAAAGTCCCATTCCTAAATCAACATTTATTTAGTTATTTGCTATTTAATATCCATAAATGTACTTTTCATTAAATTTTGAGATCATTTGCTTCTCTTCCTCAATCATATAACAACAAACTAATTTGAAGAACAATATACTTCAGCAAATGGTCTAAATATAAAGTTTTGTTATTTCTCACCTCACAATGCACTACAAATCTTTTACATAACTCAGAAATCTTTTCACAAGTGAATTGTTAGTGTGCACACTCAACTCTTCTGTGGACTGTTAACCATTTTGGTCTGACAGTGAGCCAGATAATTACAAACCTGTTAGCGTTCCAGGTGGAATTCTGTGCAGTTCTCTATTAATCATTACGTGCAACTTCCAAGTTTGACACTACTAAAACCTTTGTTAATACAGGTTTTAAAATATAAATGCTGATAAGATCTCCAACAATTCTGAGTAAGTAGGCCAATCAATTAAATTCTATTTAGATTTATGCTCATTTAATGTCTTTGTATCATTTTCTAATATGCTACAATTCTACATGAATGTTGCATTGACAGATAGATTGAACACGATGAATTCTGCAGCGATATTCATTTAAAAAAAAAAAAAAAAAGGATACTGTAGGGCAGTCAGTTGCAATAATTTCCGACCAAAGGATTACATTTTAAATAATTTCTTCCTTACGCTGAGGCCCGTGCTTTTAAACTTGCACATGTTTATGGGATTACATGCACGGGAGGAAACGCTGTCCCGCTCCTGCTCGCGGCGGTGCGCGTCGAGCCCGGCCGGTGCCCGCTCGTGCTGCCCGGCCGCCTCCGCAGCCCGCCCCGCCGGGGCACATCAGCACCACTCCATGATTCAAAGGGCTGCTGCTTTGTAGCACCACATGGCACTCCTTCCCTTGAAGGCTGCACATTCAGCTTTCAAAGGCTTTCCCACTCCTTCTGGCCCAAGGCCTCTGCTTTTATAACAGCCTTTGATTCCGGAGCATTCATCATGTCTCCCGCTCCACCGTTTTGGGAAGCTGACTCATACCTTGGAATATAAGCCAGCCTCACTGGCAGATGTAGCCAACAAAGTGCACACAACTGTCCCTTCAGACGCAGTCACTGTGCAGTGTATTTGCTATTAAACTGTTCTGTATCACTTAAAGATTTATTTTAATCTCTGTCACTGACCCCTTACCACCATTACTAGCTCATTTCTCTTTGTCCTACAACTTAGTAACCTGTAAATGAAAATAAACTTTCTTCCTTGCTCTTAAAACAATTTCAGGCTTATTAAACAAAAAATTTGAGGTGATCAGTATGAGATTAGCAGCTAAGAGATTAGCAGAAAATATTATCTTTATTAGCAAGTAACTGCAAGCCTGGATTAAGATAGCATAGATTTAAAGCAGGAAAAACACCGACATATCTGGTACATATCACTTTTCCCATACTTACTATAAATCAACCACGTAAAAGTTATTTCAACATATGACAATATTTTACAGAATCTAATCTGTTGGTGATTACTAGCCATAATACAGGTAGCAATAGTTATCTATTTTCCTGCTAACATTAAAAAGAAAAATAAAGTGCACAATATTCCATAGTACTCACATTTTCAGGTATACTAGGAAGTTCTCTGATGTCAGGCACAGTAAAGTAAGAGTGCTAAAACAGAAGAGCAAAATTGGTTATTTTGATACAGGCTATAGTCAAAGAAAATCTGAATTTATTGCTTGGTAATAGTAATAGCAGTTCCTCAGCTACGTAAAAATGACAGAACATTTTCACTAGCTACCAGAATGACTTGTTTGTCATAGACTTTTAAAAGCTGAATTCTCTTCTCTGATCACAAATGCAATATAAAATGCATTAAGTCACAAAGTATCAAGGAGTCAAAAGACAGATTATGCTGTGGTTTTTGTTCTTCAGAGCTCCTGGCACACACCAGGAGAACTTCAGGGCATTCTAGAGTTCGAGGTATCTTTCTGCAGCCCACTGCAAGATGCATGAGGGACTATGGGGAACACAACAGCAAGCAGGTCTTTTTCTGACTTAGAGCATTGCATTTTATTAAATTCAATACTGACATTAGGGAGATTTACTGAGAAGCCCCTTGTAAGCTTTTCTTACTGTCTGCTTGGGGAAAAAAAAAATTCTAAATTTCTAGAAAAGTTCTCAGAGCCCTTATATTGTTTAAAAGAAAATTTGAAACACAGATACTGCTCTTGCAATCTAATAATCCATTATACTGTTACAATTTTCATCTGTGTATTCAAAGAAAGCAAGTTCCCTCTAGTTCCCATTCTGATAACCCAACATTTGCAGGATTCTTGGTCAGGGCTTTGGGAAAACAGAAGAGCAAATGTGACTAAATTCTTTTGTAAGTTGATGCTATATGCAATTTACACTACTTTTAAAGTTTTCCAGTCTGTTGTAGGGCTACTGATTACTTTCAGAAGCTTTAAAGGTTACTACATTCTTTGCACAGTTCCACAATCAGCCCAATTTTCTTGTATACACGCATACACACACACATATATATTTAAAACATATAAAACCGATGTCAGACTTTTCAATACTTCATAAACAGCCTAAAGTACCACGTGGGTAAAACTACTACACTGAAAACAGAAACTACACATGCAACACAAATGTTTGCTTTTTGATACATCACTATTTTACTTTTGTTGAGAAGATGCAATGCAAAAATACAGGAATGGAGACAACTACTATATCACAAAGAGGAAAATACCCAAGCTGGAAATAGGTTTGTAGACAGCCAAACTAAAGTGTATAAAGACACCCCGGCACACACAGGCCCTCAGCTCCTTTCCGATATCCTTTCTCGCTTCATTACTCATGAAGCGTTTGAGGCAAGGAGAGACCAGCAGCATTCCTTGAAACCACTGGTATGAAAAAACTGAAACATCTCAAATGATCACTGACTTTTGAGACAGCTTGTCCCTTTGGTCAAAACAGAAATGCTTTTCATAAAATAGCCAGCTTCAAAAGGAACAGGGACATTTCCCCTGCCAGCTGGTGACCTAGCGAGTCTAAACAACTGTTACCTGTCGATTGACATTAGAGGGTGAAGTGATGAGACTAAACTGCTTGTTGCCAAAAACACTTTTAAAGGAGTAGAGGAAATGGAGAGAGGGAGAAGAGATCTGTGGCTATGAACATCACCAGGTTTCATGTCAATTCTAAACTGGTAACTTGCAGTATGTTTTTTCTTTCGTAAGATTGCCCTCAAAACTTAATTTGAGGATAAAAAAAGTCTAACTTCAACATCCTACCAATACAAACTGGATCAGTAAGATTCCATGTATATTCTTTCAATGGTCTTTGATTAAGTTTGCCACAAAACATGAAAGAAAGAAATAAAATCTTATTTTTGTGATAAGCAACGAAGTGGTGAAAAAGGGAAAGGAATTAGAAAATATAATAAGCACTTAATACTCAAAATGCTGCTGTGATAGGCAAAAGGCTTTGCTTTCCAGTCTTTCTCCCTTGTATACTTGCAAGGTCTAAAAATTTTAAGTGCAGACAATAAATGTCACGTTGCTGCTTTGCAAACTCTAGTAAGTCACAAATGATATGGTGATAAATCTCCATGGGGAATACACACAGTCTTCCTCCTATCAAAGAACAGGATCTCAAAGACATTTGAGGTTAAGGAAGAGAAACAGAGGGCCCCAAATATAAAAGGGGAAGTTCAGAGCTCTATATTCTCAGAGGAAAATAACATGTATGTACTGAATTCCAAAAAGGAAAACTGTTTTTTCACTTTTCTCTGTTATTTAATGAAAAATAAACACTTTAATTTATATTTCTCTTGTTTCACTTACCACTCCGAGATGAACAGAGGTTCCTGGCTCAGGGATGTTAAGTTTATGAAGTGTTTCTAGGAGCTCATTCCTTTGACTATCCTGAAATCGTAGAGAGAAAATTAGCACCAGAACCTAAACAGGCCATTTGGAAAGCTTTCCACTAGGCTAAATATGGACCTTTACATTACTGCATATTACAGATCAATAATTCATGCAGTCATGTCTGATATAAGAATCTCCTAAAAAGTTTGCTTTTATCCTTTCTACCTCATTTGATACTGGGTCGATGGAGAGGGGTTATGTACTTTAAAAGAGTACCTGTCCTTTTGCTGAATAATCTGCCAAGACATTGAGCAGCTTGTAAAACACTTCAAACCATGGGAGGTAACTAAAAAACAAGAGAGAAAAGACACGTATTCATCTTGTGAAGTTTTCCATTAGCAAGCGCGATGGCGAGCGCGGTCCTTTCCCACACGCAGCCCCCGCGGCAGCGCTCGCCGCCTCACGAGGCGCAGGGCGGCGGCGCAGGGCAGGGCCCCCTTCCCCTCCGCTGGTAACCGCAACCCGGAGGAAGCGTTCAACCCCCGAGATGGACGCACACACACGGACCCATGGTCACATACTGTTGAACATTCTTGATTTCAATTATTTTGCTAACTAGATGTTTAATAACGTCTTCAATGCAGCTGCTGAGGGTTTAGTAAACTGAAGAGAAAGAGTTGCTTTGGTTTTGAATCCTGATACATCTGGATTTTTTTTAACTACATGACCAGTATCTCCATTTTTAAATAACTTGTTACTTACAGCTGAGACATTTTCTGAGCATCCTATATCAGAGCCTTTAGTCAAATATTTAGTTTGGCCAAACAGAAGTTTTACCTGAAGTAAATTTGCACTCAACTTACAACAACAACAACTCAATATCAAAAGGCATCACCATGGAGAAAATTGTTTTCCCGTTATTATAAGTTCCCATTCCATAAAATAAGATGGACAGCTAAGACATTACCTTGCTGTGATTTGGTACCATACCTTCATGGTATGGTTCTTTGTTACATTTTCTTTCTAAAGAGTGTCAAGGACTTTCTCCTTAGCTCTGACAAGCAGGACAGCCAGTACGTGTGACACACACGGATTCTTCTTTTAATCACAGATGCTTTCTGAAGCAAATGGTTTGTGTTTTGATAGCGAGACAGGATTTAAAGTTTTTATAAAATATGACTACCTCCTGACAAGTATAACGAAGTCAGTGCCCCCGGGTTCCTAACTGTACAGCTTTAGTAATAAATGAAGTGAGAAGTTATATATGAGACAGATAAAGTGAACAGCACTCCATCTTTAACATTTGTTTGAAGCTTGCAAATGCTACTGTAAAATGTAAGTAGCTTATCAAAATATACTGATAAGCAACTTAACTTTTCATGTTATATGACAGCATTATCATTTAAATTAATATGCTTTAAGCATCTTTACAAACTATGTATCAGAATAGAGCAGAAAGACAGACAATTACCACTTTAAACAGCATTTAGTTTGGCATTATATTGTAAACATTCAAGAAGGATTAGTCAGAAGATAAGTTTCTTTCTTTCTGTTTAGTTAAATAAACTTCAGTAGAGCTAAAAGCCATTACAAGAGTAACAAGAAATCCCCTCAGAACCTATCTGCTAGGCAGAGATTAAAAACTCGGTAAACAAATCCCTGTAAGCCCTGAAAGGAACCTCTCAAATAAGAGTTTGGAGATGAAAAAGGGGAAAACTAAGAAGCCAGAAAACTGCCTAACAACATAAAAATGAAAATTTATTTCAGTCACACACATTTAAAGTTCTACATAAAGTTAGACCTACAGGTTTAACCCATGCGAACACTCCATAGAAATTCTGTTCAGTTTTACCACTCAGCGTCTGGAAAAGAGCTTCAGATTCTGCTACAAAACAGAGCAGACCAAGTCTCGTGCAACACAGTGCAGTTTACTTTGGTAATCTTTCTAGTAACATAATAAACCTTAAAGAGTTTCAAGTTCTCTTGTAATTCTGGTAAAGATTCATATGAAGAGAAGTCTCTTGCAACTTCATTTCAGTTTGACATCCCTCCTTGTCACTGCACAGCTCAGGATTCCTCTCATTCTGAAAGCTCGGAAAGCCTCAAATAACTAATTTATCCTGCCAGCTTCAATACTTTTACTTCATGACTTATTCCATGTGTTTACTACTCAGTGCAAAAGAGCGCTGCTCCTCTTAGCCAAAATGCGACCAACAAAGATGCAAAGGATCAAGAAATGCAGTTATTGAACTTGCTTCTAGGGTTTTGAAGAGAAAAAGAAGAGATGTGGATTTTATCTTGCAAAAAGCAAATCCACTATACAGTCATTAAACCTCCCCTCCCAAAGAAAAGGAGGTTGAATTTATAACCAAAACCTTTCTGTACTACATGCAACGTAAGTAGCACAACTGGTAGCACTATGGAAGATTTATGGCTTATGACTTGCTCATATTTAATTTGTAACCAAACACTTCCCCTTCCTCTTAGCTACCTTAGAACTTTTGATTAACTCTTGTTTTCACAGGTCATAGGTTAAGCAAAGGAAGGGAAGCGCTCGGGAGTGAGATTGCCCAGAGCACTGGAGCCGGCGCGCGCACGTGCACACATGTGCGCATGCACACACACACACACGTGTGCACATGCACACACGTGTGCACGCTCTTCACCCTCAAAAATGCACTAGGCTACAGACTGTTGCAGGGAGTCTAAGTTCAAAGAGTCCCATACACATAAACTGGGTTGCGCTTGCAGAGTTAACAAAAATAAAGGGGCAACATGAGGTTTCTGGGGGGTTCTTTGTGTTTTTTTTTTTGTTTGTTTGTTTGTTTTTACATTCACTTACAGTTTCCCCTGAAAATCCTTTTCCTTCAGTGACCCTTGCCATAAATCACTAAAATCCACGGGCACTCGTGCGCGCGCTGCTCTCCGTGGGCGCTGGAGCCACAGCAGGACACAAAGCTCTGCACAAGCTCCGAGCCCACAGTACCTTATTCAGTAACTCACATGTCATCACCTTTTTAGTGTGCTCCTTGAAAGTACAAAACACCATTAGTTACATGTGTCGTAGCAATTAGGGTCAGCCAGGACGTTAAGACAACAGCGCTGCCTTGCAGCCTGTAAATACACGTGTTTTGGAATAAAGCGTTCAGTGCAAAACCATAACTGACAAGCAAAGCCAGGACAACTGCAGAGACATTCATTTTGTTTCCTGCAGATAAAAACAAACAAATGAAACGATGACACATTCAGAGGGAAGCGCAGCCGTTTGGGCCCACGCTCAGCAGACAGGTCTGCGGGGCAGCGGGAAGGACGCGGCCCGCGGGCGCAGAGCCCAGCGCCGCGCTCAGGATCCCACGTGTGCTCCCAAGTTACACTGAGCAGAGAGGCCAGAGCCCAGCACCAGCTGCCATGCAGACAAAAATCTGTATTGCACTCCATTACCCTGGAATTTTGAAGTATATTAATCTACTCGTGTGTACTCATCGGAACAGAGAAACCTCCTGCATCCCAGCAGCTCGTGAGAGCTCACACGCCCTGAGCCCCTGGGAGGGCTGCAGCCAAACGCAGAGAAGCTGCCCCTGAGAAATAAAGAAACTGCTGGGATATGTGCATGTATACAGGGGGGTGGGCATGCATATAAACCATAGCATCCATATATGTATGTACACACACACAAAAATGACAAACTTCCCACACTGCAAGACTGTAGTTGTCTGAAATGAGCTATGTTTAGCAATGCAAGATTTTATGATTGCCTTGGGCAATGAAATCAAGCAAAAAAGTGTATTTCCATGATCTTCCTTCTCTCATTAAACACTTACACAATATCATTAAAAAACTAATATTTGACTCCAATGTACCAAATAATTTGCAATTATTTCTTTAAATACCTAAAAAGAAATCTCTCCAGTTGGCTGGCACAGGGGAACACTCACTGCACGGAGGAAGGACGTGTTCTTGCCTCATAGACTCAGCAAATCCTGGAAGCAAAATATCAGTCTCTGCAGCCACAAGCCCTG